TTGACAAGTAGTGCCTCAGTCCACGTCTGGGATCCAAACCTGTGAACCCTGGGCCACCAAAGCGGAGCACACGAACTTAACCACTATGCCACTGGGACAGCCCCAATATTTTGCAGTTTTTAATCAGTGCCATACCACATGGCAAGTCCTTTTTTCTTGCAAAGAGCCTGCCTCTTTTTCCCTAGAAGATGAATAAAGTGGATAGTGGCATGCCAGCGTGGAGAGTGAGAGACAAGAGACTCAGAATACTTGCACTTGTAGGTGACTGCCTCTAAAGGAGAGAAACCCATCGGTGGCACAAAGAGAAGGCTAGAAACCATAATGACTGGCATGCCTGTTGCAGAATTATCTGCAGTTTACTCAGGAGCTATCTCCATATTTAAAACTGCCTTGCTGCTTGACAACAGCTCAGTAAAATATTTTTGAGTTTTAAAAATTTAGTCAAAATTTGGTATCATTTTCTGTGAATGGTGGTAAAGAACATGATAGTAATTTTAAAAACACATTTATTTTTCAAGAATGCAGGATCCTGCTTTAATGATTAAAGGTAAAAGGAAGAATATGCATTCATCCAGACTCAAGAGTGGAGAACAGATCAGGAAAAACAAAAAACTTGCAAGAAGAAAAGGTGAGGCAAATTTTATTTCTTTAAGTAGGTAACTTACAGAAACATAGAATTCTTATACTAAAAAGAATTTAGAGATTATCTACCTCAACTTTCTTATTTTACTGATGAGGAAGTTTAGAGAGGTTAAGGATTTTCCCAGCGTTGCACAGCTCATTAGTAGCGTAACTAGGACTTGATCCTGAACTTCTGGCTTGTAGACTGTATTTTTTCTATACTTGTACTTTGGAGGGAATAGTTACAGAACCCTTTTCAAGTTTAGATGTTTGTCCTATTTGTGGTGTGACCTACGTAGCATAAAGCTATGAGAAATCATAGCAAGAGGAATAAATAGAGAAAAGGATAAGGCAAAATTATTATCATTCTTAAATGTTATTTCTCTGTTTCTGTAAAACCCCAAAGAATGAACTAAAAAACTATCAGAAACAATAAGAATCTAGAAAGACTGGTTAAAAAATAATAGATAGTGGAACAATTGGCAAAATTGAAATATGGACTGTAGATTAAATAATAATATTGTATTAGTGTTCAATTTCCTGAAGTTAATAATAATGTGGTTGTGTAAGAGAATGTCCTTGTTTTTAGAAAATATTCACTTAAGTATTAGTGAGAAAAAGAACATGGTGTATACAAGTTATTCTTTATGTATATATGTATGTATATATAAAAAGGGAGATAGAATGACTTAAAGTGGTGGCGAAATGTTAACAATGGGTGAATCCTTTGTTCTGCTTTTATAACTCTTTTGTAAGTCTGAAATTATTTCCAAATAAAAAATTTTAAAAATTTGATAAACCAAAAGAAGACAAAAATAAATACCTTTCATATATAAGTATTACCCAGTTAGAAAATATAAGAGAAGATCCTATTTATAATAGTTACAAAAGAGAGAAAATACCTACTTACATACCTAATAAGAAATGTGCCAAACCTATAAGAAGAGAGGTTAAAAATTCTACTGAGGGACATTAAAAAAAAGACTTGAAAAAATGGAAAGAACCTTATTCTTGACCATAAAGATTCAGTGTTATAAGAAACTTACTTCTCCCTAAATTACTGTATACATGCATGAGAGCTCAAAAACAGATTTTTGTTTATTTGTTAATTGTTTTGTTTTATTTTGGTTTGCTTTATAGGGCTGGAGGTTAGCTATGAGAATGTTATAAAATGATGCTAAATTTCAGCTAGAAAAGTAAATATGAAAGACTAGCCAAGAAAATTCTGAAAAGTAAAAGCAAAGGGAGAGGTGGAGAGGCAGGAACCTTCTCTACATAATATGAAAGCAATTAGAAAGCCATAGAAATTAAAATAATTGGGTACTGGCACAGGAATAGACAGATAAATAATGAAACAGAATAAAGAGTTTAGATATGGAAGCCAGATACAATAGGAATATGGGGCAGGTATGTGATAAAGACGGCATCTCAAATTGGTGGCAAAAAGAAAGGAGACTAAGCAATAAATAGTGAAAAACAAAATTGAATCCCTATAGCATTCCTTATACTAAATTTAATTCCAGTTTGGCCAAAGATTTAACTTTAAAAAAAGTTCTAAAAGAAAACATAAAGGAATATTTTTATAATCTTGGAGTGGAAAAAGCCTTTTTAAAGAATGATTCAAACCCAGAAGCTAGGAGGGAACAGAATGATAAAATTGACTACATATATTTTTTAAAAATTGTGTGGAAAACTACCCTAAAGAAAACCAAACATCAAACACAGAAGAAACATTAGTAACACATGACAAGGGTTGATTGCGTTAGCATGCAGAGCTCTTACAAAATAGTAAGGAAAAAAATGGGCAAGGAACATGAACAAGCAGTTCATAGAAAAAAATAAAAATATAAATACCTGAAAAGATTAACATCTCACTCAGGATTAAAGAAATGCAAATTAAGAAGGATAAATTTTCCCCTAAGAGAATGCCAAACATTTAAACAGGAATTCCCAGTGGTGAGAATGTGGAAAAAGTAAGCATTCTTACATATTGTTGGTAATAGTGTAAGTTTGTTCAGTCTTTTTACAGGGGAGTTTATTTACATTCATCAGAACTTTAAGTCACAGTTTTTTTGAATCAGTAATTCTACTTAAAGGGATTTACTCTATAGCTATACTTGCTTTAATACGTAAAGATATTTTTATAAGGATGTTCATTAATTCATTACAGCATTGTTTATTGTAATAAAATGAATAGAAACAATCTAAACTAGGTGAATAGTTAATAAATTATAATATAACCAATGAAATAATAATCATTTAAGAAATCACAAGAGGGCCGGCCCCGTGGCTTGGCGGTTAAGTGCGCGCACTGTGCTGCCGGCGGCCCGGGTTCGGATCCCGGGTGCGCACTGACGCACCGCTCCTCTGGCCGTGCTGGGGCCGCGTCCCACATACGGCAACTAGAAGGATGTGCAGCTATGACAGACAACTATCTGCTGGGGCTTTGGGGGAAAAATAAATAAATAAAAAATCTTTAAAAAAAAAAAAAAAAGAAATCACAAGAATATATATCCTCTGATGAGAAAAAAAAAGACACGTACAGAAAAATAGAGATAAGAATGACGACATCAGATTTCTTGTTGGAAACAATGTAATCAAGAAGATAGTGGAGCAGCCACTTTAAAGTACTGAAAGAAATTCTATATTTAGAATTTGATAACTAGCACCTAGAATTCTATACCCAGCACAATATCTTTCAAAAATGAAGGTGAAATAAAGTTTCAGACATAAAAAAGCAGAAAGAACTCATCACCAGCAGACCCATACTGTAGGAAATGTTAAAGGACATTCTTCAGGCAGAAAAACAATATTAGATGGAAATCTGCAAAGGAATGAGGATCATTGGAAATGGTAACTTTGTGGATAAAAATACAAGATTTTTTCTTGTTTATTAATTGGTTTTAAAGGATAATTGACTGTTTAAACAAAAATAACAACAATGGATTATGAGGTTTTTAACATATATAAAAGTAAAATGCATGACAATAATAACAAAAAGGCCATGAGGGGAGAATTGGAAGTATACTATTTTAAAATTTATGTGAGGATACCATTTGAAGGCAGAATGTGATAAGTTAAAGATGTATAGTATAAACCCTAAAGGAACCATTATAATAGACAAGTTATAGTTAATAAGTCAACAAAGAAGACAAAATGGAATAACAAGAAATGTTCAGAGTTAATCCAAAAGAAGATAGAAGAGGGAAAAGGGAACAAAGAACAGATGGGAAAAACTGAAAACAAATAGCAAGATGATACACTCAAACCCAACCATATCAACATTCACAATAAATGTAAACAGTCAAGACATTCCCAATTAAAAGGCGGAGATTGTCAGATTGGGTGAAAAAGCAAGACCCAACTATATGCTGACATAAAGAAACACACCTGAAATATAGAGACATAAGTAAGCTAAAACTGAAAGAATAGGGGGAAAATATACTTTGCTAACATCAGTTTTATTAGTTTCCTATTGTGGTAACAATTTACCACAAATTTAGTGACTTAAAACAACACAAATTTATTCTCTTACAGTCCTGAGGGCAGAAGTCCAGATGAGTGTTAAAGGGTTAAAATCAAGGTTCAGGGGCCGGCCCGGTGGCGCAAGTGGTTAAGTGCGCGCGCTCCGCTGCAGCGGCCCAGGGTTCGCTGGTTCGGATCCCGGGCGCGCACCGACGCACTGCTTGGCAAGCCATGCTGTGGCGGCGTCCCATATAAAGTGGAGGAAGATGGGCACAGATGTTAGCCCAGGGCCGTCTTCCTCAGCAAAAAAAGAGGAGGATTGGCGGATGTTAGCACAGGGCTGATCTCCTCAAAAAAAAAAAAAAAAAAAAAATCAAGGTGTCAGCAGGTGGTTCCTTCTGTAGCCTCCAGGGGAAAATCTGTTTCTTACCTATTCCAGCTTCTAGGGCCTATGGCATTCCTTTGCTCCTGGCTGCATCAGTCCACTCTCTGCTTCACTTGTCACATTGCCTTGTCCCCTTTTGATCTTCTTGCTTCCCTCTTAGGAGGATTCTTGTGATTTCATTTAGGGCTCACACAGATAATCCAGGGTAATCTTCCCTTCCCAAGATCCTTAATTTAATCACGTCCCCAAAGTCCTTTTTGCTATATAAGGTAACGTTCTCAGGTTCTGGGCATTAAGATGTGAACATTTTTGGAGGACCATTATTTAGCCTACCATACCAATCAAAAAAAAAGCTGGAGTCACTATGTACTAATATATAGTACGTGGTATGTTTTGCTATAATATATCATTAATGTCAGACAAAGTAGATTTCAGAACCAAGACTATTAGGGATAAAGAAAGCTATTTCATAATAATGCAGAGGTCACTTCATCAGGAGTACATAATAATTCTAAACAATTATTCTCTTAATAACAGAGTTTCAAAATACATGAAGCAAAAACTGATAAAACTGCAAGGAGCAATAGCCAAATCTGCAATTACAGTCAGAGATTTCAATACCACTCTTTCAGTGATTGGTAATTCATTATAGTAACCCAAATAAACAGAATATAAGTAAGGATATAGAATATTTAAACATTATCAACCAGCTTGACCTATTTGACATTTATGTAACTTTCCACCTAACAACAGATGATCACATGTTCTTTTCAAATGCACATGGAATATTTATTGAGATAGTTTATATGCTGGGCTGTAAAACAAGTCTCAATAAATTTAAAAGGATTAAAGTTAGAAAGAGTGTGTTTTCTGACACCAATGGAATTAAATCAGAAATAAGTGACAGAAAGATCTCTGTAAAATCTTGAAACATTTGGAAATTAAATAGCACAGTTTCAAATAACCCATGGGTCAAAGAAGAAATTGAAAGGGAAATTAGAAAATATTTTTAACTAAAATAAAATGCAAAGCCAACGTAGCAATATTTTGGAATGTCATGAAAAGAGTAATGGGGGGAGGGTACAGTATTAATGCCTGTGCTAGAAATGAAGAACATGCTCAAATCAGTGACATCAGCTTCTACCTTAAGAAACTAGAAAAAGAAGAGTGAGTGAAATCCAAAGTAAACAGAAGAAAGGAGGTAGTAAAGAAGACAGTAGTGGTAAAGCAGAAATCAAGGAAATAGAAAATAGAAAAATAATAGAGAAAATCAGTGAAATCAACAGCTGGTTCTTTGAGAATACCAATTAAATTGATAAACCGTTAGCCAGACTGATCAGGGAAAAAAAAAAGACACAAATTACCAATATCAGAAACAAGAGAGGTGACATCATGACATGGTCTACAGATATGAAAAGGATAATGAGGGAATATTATGAACAACTTTTTGCCAATACATTTAACATAGATGCACTGGACAAATTCTTTGAAAGACACAAATTATTAGAAATGGGCAACCTGAATAATAATATATCTATTAAATAAGTTGCATTTGTAGTTAAAAACTTCCCCACCAAAAAACAAATCAATAAATGAAAAATCTCCAGGCCCAGATGCATTCTGTATTAGTCTGCTAGGGCTCCCATAACTAAATACCACAAACTGGATGGCTTAAATGACAGAAATTTCTGTTCTCACAGTTCTGGAGGCTAGAAATACAAGATCAAGGTACTGGAAAATTCAGTTTCTGGTGAGACCTCTCTTCCTGGCTTGCAGACGGCTGCCTTCTCACAGCGTCCTTTATGCATGTGTGGAGAGCTCTGGTGTCTCTTCCTTTTTTTGTAAAGATACCATTCCTATGATTAGGGCCTCAACAAATGAATTTTGAGGGGACATAATTCAGTGGGTAACACCTTCAATGGTGAATTCTACCAACCTTTCAAAGAAGAAATAATACGAGTTCTCCACAAGTCTTTCAAAAAATTGAAGATAAGGAAATACTTCCCAACTCATTCTGTGAGGCCACCATCAAACTGATACTGAAATCAAAGGCATTACAAGAACAGAAAACTACAGATCAATATTCTTCGTGAACATAGATATAAAAATCTAAACAAAATTGTAGCAAATCAAATCCAACATTATATAATATATCATGACCAAGTAGAGTTTATCCTAGGAGTGCAAGGTTGGTTTTGCATTTGAAAATCAATCACTGTAATTCGTTATATTAACAAACCAAAAAAGAAAAACCATGTGATTGTCTCAATAGATGCAGAGAAAGCATTTGACAACAACCTAACGTCCAATACTGGTGAAAACTCTCAGCAAGCTAGAAATGGAAGGGAACTTTGTCAGCCTGACAAAGGGCATCTACAAAAAAATATACAGCTATCACGTGGAAGGCTGAATGCTTTTCCCCTAAGATCGGAAATGAGACAGGAATGTCTACTCTCACCACTTCTGCTGAACGTTGTACTGGAGGTTCTAGCCAGTCAATCAGGAAGAAAAAGAAATAAAAGGCGTTCATATTGGAAAAGAAGAAGTAGACCTGTCTTTAATCACAAATGACATAATCATCTAGTTACAAAATCGGATGGAATCTACAATATAAACAACTATAAGTGGGTTTAGCAAAGTTGCAGGATACAAGCTCAATACACAAATATTAATTATACTTCTATATTCTAGCAACAAACAGTTAGTGAAATTTGAAAACCATACCGTTACAAAGCAAAATTTGATACTGTAGTATCAAAAATATGAAATACTTAAGGATAAATTTGATAAATGATGTAAAAGACAGGTACACTGAAACCTACAAAACAGTATTCAGAGAAATCAAAGAAAATTTGATGGAGAGAAATGAAGAGATATAGCTTGTTCATCAGTCAGAAAACTCAATATTGTTAAGATTTTATTTCTACTCAGTATACTTACAGATTATACACAGTTCCAAACAAAATCCCTATAGGGTACTTTGTAGAAATTCACAAGCTGGTTCTAAAATTCATATGGGATGCAAATGACCTAGAATAGTAAAACAACTCTGAAAAAGAACAAAGTTAGAGGGCTAACACTACCTGTTTTCAAGAATTATTATATGGCCATAGTAATCAAAACAGCATAACATTGGCATCAAGGTAGGAAAATAGGTCAATGGAACAGAAGGGAGTTCAGAAATAAACCCTGAGTTTTGACAAAGGCACAAGGCCTTTCTTTGTAGTGGAGAACAGCTGGTTATCCATATGCAACAAAATGTTATTGAGCGTCTCTCTCTATTTTGAGTGTTAAATTTTGTTTTTGTGAACAAGTTGCTTGAAGGTCAGCTTGATCCTTTCAACACTTTTTTAAACCCTTTTAGATAGGTCTAGTGTAGGCTTTACTCTAGGACTAGTCTAGCCCTGCTACGAAGACAAAACCCATCAAGGGTCTCTCTGAATGCCCCAATGTTCACCAAGGTCTCTCTCCTCAGGCTGGTGGGAATAGGAATGTCTCCTAACTCTGTGTGATCCTGGACAATTGTTAATTGATAGCTCCTGGGTAGTTGTCCTTGCCCAGCCTCGTGCAGACTCACCCTACACGTGAGCAGTTGAGTATTCAGATAGCTCAAGGAGCCCCTTTTATAGATTTCTGGTGCCTCTTCTCTATTCTCTCATCTCTGGTGCCCTGCCCTGCAAATTCTAGTCACTCCAGCCTCCCTAAACTGTAATCTTTTTCTCCTCAGCTCAGCAGGATCACCTTGCTGTGCTTGTACTATACTCTGCAGAGTGCCTCCAGACAAGAAGCTAGAGGGATCTTAGAGCTCACTTTGTTGTTTCCCTTCACTCAGGGGAGCCATAGATCTGAACTGCCTGTTATCCAATGTCTGAATATAGATTTTTTTTCCCCCATCTATTTTGTCTAGTTTTCTAGTTGTTTACAATGGGAGGGCAAGTCACACCAGTTTTTTAGTCATGATTGGAAGTAAATGTCTTCCACAACTTAGTTTTCATTGAAAATTTTTGTATTCTTCTTAGTCATTTTTAATAAATTGCATGATTAATAATAGCAAGTACAAATGGCAATGATGTATCTGGGAGTAAAGACTACTAACTTTTGGTAAGCATACAGTTTATCTGGTGGGAGCAGAGTGCTTTGTAGTCTGGGGTGGGGGAAGGCTGGCTGAAATATTCGGGAGTTGGTTTGTTTTACAGTGAAACGGGATGGAGGGAATCAAATAAAAGGCAAAACAGTTACATTGTGGTCCATTAAGAAATCTGCTACAGTACTCACTTACTTTTGTGAGGTTTTAGGGTGGGGCATATTAGCTAGATCAAAATTGGAAAAGCTATCATCAAAGCTATTCTGAAATTCAGGAAAACCAAATGAGTATTATCCACAAAAGTTGATAGGATTTGGAGTATCTAAATGAGGCATTTCAATATTTTAGGAGGCACAGTGGAGAAATGATATTTGGTATGCATAACCTGGGAAACTATTTTAATTGTGTATTTCCTGGTTTAGGAAATTAAAACTATTGTACAGATCAAGATCATAGTTCTTTATTTTCATGAGAGTTATTTTTAGCAAAAAAATAAAATTTAGCACTCTTTTTTCTGGTCTTGTTGGGGTTGATTTTTCTATCTTCCTTATATGCTTCTGAGATTTTCTCCTCGTGGTTTTATAAGATATTTTGGTATTATAACTTTTTGTTAGGTGTGATAACATCTAATTCTAGATTTAAATAATCTTTTTCACCAGAACTTTTAAGAAAATAATCTTAGTTTTCTCATATATGCACCTTTCATGGCATTTCAATCAACATAAACTGATTTATAATTTACTACAAATATTTTCAAACTAATGCCATTTGTCTCTTTCACCTTTTTGCATGTAGATACCATTATAGTTGAGTTAATGGATGAAGTACTCTTTCATAATGTAATATACCTCTATTCCAGAATGTTGACTGGATTCACCCTGTTACCTGTATTCCTCCTGATTTTCAAATAAGGATTATAATTTTTTATTTTCTTTTGTTTATTCCCTCATTTCAGAAAAAATGAAGATGAATAAAATATCTCTTTCTATCATTAACCGGAGAAATGTTTTTGGAGAGAACTTACTATATAAGGCTGCTCTGCACAATGATGCTGATCTTGTTCATCATTGTATAAAAAAAGGTGCAAATGTTAATCAACCAAGTTATGCTGGTAAGTTGGAGTTACCACCCACCGCTGTCTTGAGAGTGGTTTGTCATTCATCTGCGTCACTCCTGTGAAAGTATGGCAAAGTAGGCCTGAGGCAGATCTCAAACAGAAAACTTCCAGGTAATTTTCTTGCTTAGGTAGCTCTTCACCATCATCACCCAGGAAAGTGGTAAGGGTTGGGGCTGCAGAGAAGAGCATTATATTTCACCTTCAAAGATTATGCCTGCCTGGGTTGGCCATGTCTAGTGGCGTTACACAGAAGGATGGGGATGGCTTGCTGGGTTTGCGTGAGCTTTGTTACCGTGAGACTCAACTTTGAATGGAAGAGAAATGAGGTCAAAAGCTGAAAGAAGCTGATGGTACACTGAGCTACAGGGGAAGTTGATAATAAAATGGTGTGTGTACAGCAGGGGCAGCGACCAGGGGAATGGAGAGAAGAGAGTATGAGGTAGAGAGAGTGGAGCAGGGAGCTCAGAAATAACAGTTTTTCTGCAAGTCTGAATCTCTGGTGCAGTCTTCCTTGTGGGGAGAACCTGACATGTTCTCCTAGAGAGGAATGATTCCTTAAAGGCACTCCAGTACTTAAGGCACTGAGCAGCACTGGGCCAGCCTGGGTAGTGCTTTTATGTGCCCTTACTTGACTGTTGTTTCTTGACTTTCTTAGTTTATGAAATACTGCAAAAAGTCTTAGGGTGTGCAGGGATCAACAGTACAGTCCGTGGACAAGCAGGTGATTACGAGTGCACCCCAGGACTGACTTGAGCAAGGCCTGGGTTAGACTGTCATCAGAGTGTTAACAGGCTGTTATTCTAAAGCTCATACCCGAGTCAACCACCATGGTCCTGTAATCCTCAGCCATGGGTCCTTATTTGCTGGCCAAAGCACTTGCTCCCTTGATTTCGAGAAATGTGTGGCTCTTTTTTTTTTTTTAAAGATTTTATTTATTTATTTTTTCCCCCCAAAGCCCCAGTAGATAGTTGTATGTCATAGCTGCACATCCTTCTAGTTGCTGTATGTGGGACTCGGCCTCAGGATGGACGGAGAAGTGGTGCCTCAGTGCGCGCCCGGGATCCGAACCCAGGCCACCAGCATCAGAGCGCGCGCACTTAACCACCAAGCCATGGGGCCGGCCCTGTGGCTCTTTCTGTTAGTCTCTATCTGCTCCTTAAGTTCAGGAGTAGCTCTCCATGCACTAACTTGACTTAATGAATTTCCCAAGCATCTCTTGACATGTTTCTTTTCATTAGCCCTTTTTTTCTGTGCCATCGTTAACATCCTCAGTGGCTGTGTCCTGCTGGTCTTTGGGCAGTTAGTGTACACTTGCTCACTGCCCCAGGTACTTCTGTGACCTTCATGAATTCTTTATCCTTACCATATTTTCTAGGCTTTTTGAACTCGCTTGTTCTCTAGTTTTCTGTCTCCCTTTGCATCTTAGCTCTGGTCTTTACTTCTGGCTGCCACATCCCACAGAACTGCAGAGGGCAGTGTTTCCAAAGGGTTGTCTACAGTTTTCTTAAGAGTCACCTACAGTGTTTATTTGTAAACAGTGCAACCTGTAGTTCACCCTTGAAAACACACACGCACATAAACACACACACTCACAATCAAAATCAATCTATAGGTTAATACCTGGAAATCTGCATTTTAACAAGTTCCCCTAGGTGATTTTTATCCTCATTCAAGAACTACTGGCAAGAGATGTATGACCTCCACGTAACATGTCAATTCACTGTAGTGAGCTTTTCCAGTATGCCTCCTTTGTGCCAGGTGCTGTGAAGACAAAAAAATAATATCTACTAGAAAGGCTTAAATATATTCATTTTGTGATACAATCCAAAAGAGGCTAAGTGCCTTTTGAGAAATTAACAAAATGTCATAAAGCAGACCAATGGTCTTTTCATAGGTAATATTTGCGTTTTATAGTTCCTCATTTACATTTTATGATATCTTTGATTTAAAAAACCAGTTGCAATAATTCTTTACCTATCAAAAACAAAGGTGACAACTAGGAAGTGGGCCAAAAAAAACTGAATACCCAGAATAGATCTCATAAAGCTTCTTTGCTAAAACCCTCTCAGACCAATGACTTGAGCATTATTTTACACAGAATTCTGATTCCTAAGCCTGTGACACTTGAGAACTGAAAAGAAAGGTTGGCACAGGCTAACAGCAAGGCAGATAAAAACAAAATTGAGAGGCAGAATTGTTGAGGACCATACGGTGCAGAAGAGAGTGCACTTCATCCCTCTGTGGGTGTTAACAATTGCTGCATTAGAGCTTGTAACTAATAATGTTATGATCTTGAATCTTCTTTTAAAATGTGTTAAATTATATTCTCTTTATAGGAAATGTATACTCTTATAAAGCTTTAAAGAGATTTCCTCTAAGATGATTACATTTTAAAAGAGAGAAAAAAAATGTTGCTTAAGGATCTCCCAACCTGTAGATTTGAGAGATGACAAGAGATCTGTTGTCAGATGTATTCCATCTTTATTTTGGAAGAATTTCTCCCAACACTTAGGGGAAGGGAAGTTTTTTGTTACATTTGATTTCTTTCTGCAATATGTAGCCATTTCTATGGTCTGCAGTGGCGCTCTCTGCAGAATAAAGGTCCCTCTGGCTTTGTTGATGATAGGAATTTCTTTTAATCCTGAGATTGATACTGTTCATCACTGGGCCATCCTTGTTTAGGTCCCACTTAACGTAGCATTCATTTTTAACTCCCCCTCCCCTCCAGACCTCATCATTTACTCCGAATTACTCACGTGTACCTTCTCTTTTTTGGGAATTTTCTGCAGTGAATTTAAAATATGAGATGCTTTTTCTTAGAAACCAGACAATTGCTTTATATTCACCTTATCTTTTAGTCATTCTGGGCTCAGAGAAAACAAACTAATCTTTTATTATGGTTATTTTCTCATTCCTATAGCAGTCATTTTTGTGCCCTTTAGGAAACTGATTTTTATTGTAGTTTAAACAAAACCTAAATAAGGAAAGGAAGTTTCCTAGAAGCAAAATCACCAACTGCATTTCAAAGTTAATAACTTGGATTTCTGATACTTCATTTTTCATCCTACCAAACCTAGACCTGTGGCTTAAGTTAATTAGTGATACACGTTGATAAGCAAATTTCCACTGGTCTACGGGTCGCAGAACCTAAACAGCAATGAGTTCACACTTCTTATCAGAAACAGTACTTTGGGGGAGATAGTTTTTATATTATTTTTAAAAAATAGTTGTTAAGTGGTTATGTGCCAAAAGTTCACACGTGAGCTGTTTATTTGAAAATTCTTACGAAATTATGAAAAATTTCAATCATACAGAAAAGTTGAAAGAACTGTACAATAAACATCTATATACCTAATACCTAGGTTCTACTTATTTGTTTTTATCACATACTTATTGTAAAGGAAAAACACTCACGTGTTTCTCTTCTACTCACACTCACAACACTTCTGACACCAGATATGTAGGTTTTCCACACATCAAGCACTTCTCTTGACAACTCCTGGATGTCCTACAATTCAATTCAGTTCTGACACTAACCAGTGTTCGTGCAGACCCCACAGATTAAGGGCTCAGTCCCACAAGACTGCCCCCCGCTTTAGATGCAAATCGCCAAGTAGTAGGTCCCCAGATTACCCACAATTTCTGTTCAACTTGGCTACAAATTAGAGGTTCCCATGACTTCCTCCTTGGATTTGATCATTTCCTAGAACAGCTCGTGGAACTCAGGGAAACACTTATGTTTACCAGTTTATTGGATAATAAAGGATATGATAAAGGATACAGATGAAGAGCGAGATGAAGAAGATACGTAGGATGAGGTCTGGAAGGGTCTCGAACACAGGAGCTTCTGTCCCTGTGGAATTGGAGTGTGCTACCCTCCCAGGATGTAGATGTGTTCACCAACTTGGAAAAGCTCTCCAAACCCCAAACTTTGGGGATTTTTATGGAGGCTTCATCATGTAGGCATGAGCAATTATTAAATCCATTTCTAGTCCCTCTCTCCTCTCTGGAGAATGGGCAGAGAGAGCTGAGAGTTCCAAGCTTCTAATCATGGCTTGGTCTTTCTGTTGGCCATCCCCCATCTAGGAGCCCACCAGAAGTTGCCTCATTAGAACGAAAGACACTTCTGTTACCCAGGAAATTCCAAGGGATTTTAGGAGCTCTGTGTCAGATGTTCCCATCACTCAGGAAATTAGAAAGGCCTGAGAGTTCTCTATCAGGAACTGGAAGCAAAGACTAAATATTAGAACACTCCAAGATTCTCCAGCACTCCTGTTTACATGGGTTTTAGGAGCTCTGTGTCAGGAACAAGGGGGCAGAGACCAATATATATTTCTTATTATTTCACACCTATCCTTCTCTAAATCTCTCTGTCCATCCATCCCATCTTTATGTTGATGATTTCAAAGAAAGTTGTAGAAATTGGTATATTTTACCATTAAATACCTCAGCGTGAATATCATTAACTAGAGTTCAGTAGTTTTTTTTGAGGTAGAATTTTCACACAGTGAAATGCCAAGTCTTAAAGGTGCCATTTGATGAATTTTGACAAGTTACATTCACCTGTGTAACCCAAACCTCCATCAAGAGATAGAAAATGTTACCATCATCCGAGAAAGTTCCCTCATGCCCCTTCCCAGTCATTCCCCATCCTCACTCCCTAGAGCCACTACTGTTCTGAAATTTTTACCGTAGATTAGTTTTGCCTCTTCAGTATTTCACCATTAAGCATGTTAGCTGTAGGTTTTTGTAGCTGCTCTTTATCACATTGAGGAATCTATTTCTAATTTGCTGAGAATTTTTATGAGAAATCAATGTTTGGTCATGATATATCATCCTTTTTATGTATTTCTGAATTTGATTTGCTAATATTTTGTTCAGGATTTTGGCATCTATGATCGTGAGTAATATTGGTAATTTTCTTTTTATTGTCATTCTTTTGTCTTGTTTTGATATCAGGATTTGTTAATGTTTTGTTAAGGATTTTTTTTATATTTGTGTTCATAGGTAATATTGGTCTATAATTTTTTTGTAATATCTTTGGTTTTGGTATCAGGGTTATGCAAACCTCATAAAGTGAGTTAAGTATTCTGTCTTCTATTTTCTGTAAGAGTTTGTGTAAGATTGGGATTTTTTTTCTTCCTTAAATGTTTGACAACTTAAGAGTGAAACTGTCTGGGCCTGTAGTTTTCATTGTGGGAAGATTTTGGTACTAAATTGAAATTCTTTAATAGGTATGGGCTATTCAGATTTTCTGTTTCATCTTGTGTCAGTTTTGGTAAGTTGTATTTCTCAAGGAATTTATCCTTTTCATCTAGGAGGTAGAATTTATTGGCATAAAGTCATTTATGATATTTATCCCTGTTATTCTTTTAATGTCTGCAGATCTGTAGGGATTTTATCTTTCTTTCCTGATATTGCACCCTTCCTTCCTTCCTCACTGCTTCCCTCCCATTCTCCCTCCTTCCTTCCCTTCTTCATTCCTCACTCCCTCCCTCACTCCCTTTGTTCCTTCCTTCCTTCCTCCCTCCCTTTTTCTTTTTTTTCTTCCTTCTTTCCTAAGCTAGTTTAAGCTAGAAGATTATCAATTTTATTGATTTTTTTTTTTCTTTCAAAAAACTAACTCCTGGCTTTTAGAATTTTCTCTATCTGTTTTATATTTTATTGATTTCTACTCTTCTTCTGACTTCTACTTATTTTTGGTTTTCTTTGTTCTTTTTCTAGCTTCTTAAGGTTGAAAATGAGGTCACAGGTTTTTGTACGTTCTTCCCTACTGTAAGCATTTAAAGCTGTAAATTTCCCTCTGAATATTGCTTTTGCTGCATCCCACAGACTTTGATGTTATATTTTTATTAACATTCAGTTTGAAATATTTTAAATTTCTTGTATGATTTCTTCTTTGACTCCAGGAGTATATTAGAAGTTGTTTAATTTTTAAATATTTGGGGATTCTCCAGATATCTTTCTGTTATTGATTTCTAATTTAGTTCCATTGTGGTCAAAGGATACACTTTCTATGAATTTGATCCTTTTACGTTTATTGAGAATTGGTTTATTGCCTAGTATATTGTCTTTCTTGATAAATATCCCTGGTGCACTTGAATGTTTATTCTTCAGTTGTTGTGTCTCATGTTCTGTAAACGTCAGTTAGATGAAGGTGGTTGATAATGTTCAGATCATCTCTGTCTTTACTGATTTTTTGTCTAGTTGATCTGTCATTTCCTGAGAGAGTGTTGAAATCATCACAACTATGATTATACAGTTGTCTATTTCTCCCTTTAATTCTATTTTTGCTGCTTGTATTTTGAAGCTCTGTTATTAGGTGCATACACAGTTGTGATTGTCATGTCTTCTGATAAATTGACCTTTTTATCATTATGAAATATCTCTGTTTATCTCTGGTAACATAATAGACTTCAACCTTATCTTGAAGTCTACTACATATGATATTAATATAGATATCCTAGCCTTCTTTTGTTTCTTGTCTATTTGCTATATCTTTTTCCATCTTTTTATTTTCAACCTATCTATGTCTTTATATTTAAAATGTATTTCTTGTAGACAGTGTACAGTTTTGCTTTTTTATCCATTTTGACAATCTCTGACTTTTAGTTGGGGTGATTCATCAATTTTTATTTATGGTTGGATTTAGGACTGTCATTTTACTAATTGTTTCTTGTGTGTGTCATCTGTTTTTTTGCTTCTTTCTTTGTCTTTGCATTATTTTGTAGTGGTTGCTCTAGATATTACAATATCTATCTTTAATGTTTCACAGTCTTCGTAGAGTTAATATTGTAATACTTCATATAGAATATAAGCACATTGAACACATCTCCCTTATCCTTTATGCTATCGCTGTCACATATATTACATCTATATACATTGTAAACCCCAAAACATAATGTTATGATTTTTGTTTTAACAACCATATGCATTTTAAGAAAATTTATAGGGAAAAAAACTCTGTTAAACTACATATTTACCATTTTGGGTGCTCTTCATTTCTTCCTCAAGGCTTTCTAATTAATACTATAGGAGAAACTCCTTCTATAACATTTTATGACAGTGGTTCTTAACTTGGGTGATTTTCCCTCCCAGAGGACATTTGGCAGTTTCTGGAAACATTTTTAGTTACAACTGGGATGGGAGCACTGCTACTGGCATATGCTGGATTAAGGCCAGGGATACTGCTAAACATCCTACAAGGCTCAGAACAACAAAGCATTATCCAGCCCAAAATGTTAGTGCCGAGATTGAGAAACCCTGATTTATGGAGAAGGTTCTGGAAAAAGTTAGTGAAATAGACTTTTAACATACTTTTAGGTTTTCTTACATCAATCATATGATTTATTGGAATTTAATAGGTATCTATAACTCATACCATTGTCTCTGGCTAACAGAGAAAGAATATTTATCTGGATGATTAATTTTCTTGGAGCAGCTGTGGTTTGTTAGTTGAACTACTGTAATAGCTTTTTGCAAAAAAGGAGAAAAGAAATATATACTTTTGAACTGACTTCTATGTGATTCTACCAGTTGGGTTACTTTAATGCAATTACCTTGAGCTACAAATAATGCTTTTTTCCCCTCTTCTCTACAGAAAAGTAGCCTGCACCCAGCATTCTCTATGAGCTAAGAATGATCCCCTTACAGCCTTTTTATTTGAGGAGGACAGGAATAGTTTCAAATATTTTACTACTTTTCATATTTTTCCACAACAGAGTTAGAGATAAGAATTTGATTTGTCTCTCAGATTTATTGAATCCACCAAATAATACAGATTGCGTTCATGGTGAGATTATCTTGTCTCATATAATCAAAATATTTTTGGAGAAACAACTTAGAATTAAAGTTTTTATTTTAAGGGCAACACAGAACATTATTAAGCTACCAAATATAAAAAATACCATTTCCTTTTTGTATAATAGGTTGGACAGCACTTCATGAAGCTAGTGTAGGAGGATTTTATCAGACAGCAAGTGAACTGCTGAAAGGTGGAGCAGATGTAAATATCAAAGGAATGTACCAGATCACTCCCCTACATGATGCTGTGATGAATGGGCATTATAAGGTACTGTGATTCTTTTGTCTGTAGAGCAAACACTACATTCTCCAAGTATTAAAAATCTCTGGGACCAAGCAATGGAGAAACAGATAGGAATTCAGTTTCAGTTCATTCGGCTAATCGGTACTCAGAATTTATAATAAAATTTTACTGTGTGATGGATTTGTTGTGCCTAATACGGTAGATGCCATTTTACATGTTACTTTTAACAACTACAGAACATGTTTTGGTTATACATAGTATTGTTTAAACTCGCACTTCTTTAGGACTCTTCTCTTATGGGGCTTTCTAGGCTTTGGGAGCACGTTTCCTTTTTAGAGTGTTACACAATGATGTCCAGTCCTGATAGCAGGCTCACAGCTTTATGGAGTCTAGTGTCACTTGCAGAGTCAGCATAAGACATGAGAACTCCAGGTTTAATGATCAGCCAGTACACCCCAGCACAGATGTACCAATGGTTAAAATATCAAAATACTGTAATTCCTTATGAGTTGGTTAATAGTAACTGCAGTAATGGTAATGTCAATTAAGATTATGAATTCCAGCACACATGATTTAATCTCAGAAACCACATATGCTCTGAGCTTTTTAGACGTTTTTCTGGTCCAGGCACTGCATTAGGGGGCTGAGGCACTTGCTGAAAATATCTTGCTATTCAGGTATTGGAAGTTGTCTCTGGGTTTAAGATTACTAGGGTAGGAAAGGGCGCTAATCAGCTGGGCTCAGGAAGATCTTTTCTGCATACTTCCAGAAGAAATACCTAACACAGGTAGAGCTAGGGAAGGCTGCCAGGGGCCATGGGCATAGACAAATAGGGCAGATCCCTTCCTAGTGTGGAAAAGTACTTCAGGAGGGTGTAGGCAGTTTTGCTTTTTTTGATAATGTATCATCTGGTAGTAGGTGGTTATCCCTGCACATTGTGTAGAGGGCTGGGGGAGGGGAGTCTGCCTACAACCTGATTTAATGGCCAGAAGAATGCAGGCTTGGCCAAGTGGTAGTGTGAGCCCTCTCTCTGTCCTTTATCCCCTCTTCAAAGCTGGCCTCCAGCAGAGAAGCCTCATGCCACAGCACTTCTTCCCTCTCCCCATGGCCCATCAGCTCTCCAACTTGCCAGGGCTGTCCTCTCCTGGTCAAGAGTCTTTTCTCCCTTTGGGCGGTGTGAGCTCTGAGCACTTTACTTTTTCTTCTTTCTCGTTTCTTCCTTTCCCCCACCGGGTAACTTGGCTCCAGTCGATTTCTGCCTCACAGGCCAGAACTGGCTGTCTCCTTTCTGGCCTTTGCACGTATGTAGCCTTCTCTTGCTCCCTCAGTGAAGTAAAAGGGACCAGAGATCCAGGCCTCTAACTCCAGAATCTAGTTTCCTCACTACTTACCTCATTCCCTCTCGCCAACCGCTGTCTTTCTAGGACTCATGTGCTGCTGGCACCGTGGCATATCCTAACTGATGGCAGGAGAAAAGAGAATGACAAGACAGGAGTGGAAGTCTAGAGAATGGTCATGAGAATTAAAAGCTGAAATCCACTGGGGTGGGATGAAGTCACAGTCTGTCTTCTTTGTTCCCTTCCTCTTCTTTTTACAGCTTGGGGAGTGGAGGGGAGCCAATAAGTTACTTCACCCAGTCCAAGAGAGATTTGTAAGACTCCAGGTCAGTTCTGGACTGACTTAAGAACCAAAGCCTTGAGAACCAAAGTGGGATGGGACATTGTTTTGGAGGTTGGAGTAGGAATGGTGGGAGCATCAGATAAGGATTTAGCCTTACCTCAGGGAGTCTCCTAGGTGAGACAAAGACGGTCATAAAAATGGCCTAGACCCTGGATATTGGATTGCTCCCATGCCTTAGATGTCACAGGACTAACGATGTCAGACACGGATGACCTGGGAACCTGATGCTGGAGAATAGGAACTTCTTAAACATTCTAGAGTTGAAAGAACTTGCATATATTATCTTACAGGCATTGGCTCTTACATTGGAAAGATACTAAGAGATAATATCCTATGTTTTAAAAAATGAAAAAGCAGTTAAGAAACACATATTGTATGATTTCATTTATATGAAATATCTATAGTAGTTCAAAAATCTATAGAGACAGAAAGAAAATTAGGAACGGGAAATAGAGGGTAGGTAATGGGGAGTGACAGATAATGGGTAAAGAGTTTCTTTTAGGGGGAATGAAAATGTTCTAAAATTAGATTGTGGTTATGGTTGCATAACCCTCTTAATATACTAAAAAACATTGAATTATATTCTTTAAATGGGTGAATTGTGTGGCATGTGAATTATATCTCAATAAAACTGTTAAAAATAAATTTTTTTTAATGTGGAAAAGGTGGAATTTGATAATTACAGATGATCAGCTCAATGTGGTTCCTTAGAAAAATCGGGAACAAAGTATTAAACATGTGGTGGGAGACATTTAGGCAAGAATGTAGCCATCTTTGAGAATCTGTAGGCATCACTGAGAATAAGTCATAGACTAAACTTGATTGCTTTTTTTATTAAGCTTATTTTGTTAGTAGGAAAACGAAATGGCATGACAAGTGGATGTAAGCTATTATGATTTTTTTTTTTTCCTGAGGAAGATTTACCCTAAGCTAACATCTTTTGCCGATCATCCTCCTTTTTTTTGGTATGTGAACCGCCGCCACAGCGTGGCCACTGACAGATGGGTGGCGTAGGTCTGTGCCTGGAAACTGAACCCTGGCTGCCGAAGCAGAGCACACCAAACTTAACCACTAGGCCACTGGGCGTGGCCCATAAGCTATCGTGATTTTAAATACATTTTTGAAAAAATATCCCTCAGACATGGGGTTATTTATTCCATGTGTGTCTGAAGTTTGATTATATATTCTATTACACTATAAAGAGTCAAACCACCTCTGCAGGCTGGAACGTGGACTGTATTTTGTTGTTAGGAGTGTTTTTAAGAAATCCCAGGCATGATACCATTTTACCCATGAACACTTGAGCCTGAATCTCTAACAGATAAGGACATTTTCTTTTCACACCCACAGTATCATCTCACCTAATAAAAATTAACGATTTCTTAATACCATTTAATACCCAGTCCATATTCAAATTTCTCAGGTTATCTAAAAAATGTGTATTTATAGCAAGTTGTTATTTGAATCAGGATCCATCAAGGTTCATACATTACACGTGTTTGTTGTGTTTCTTAAGTATGTTTTGATCTATAACAGTCCTTTGTATATTTTATTGGGTTATGTCTTCTAGAACCTGGGTCATGCATCCTATAGAATTTCCTAAATTTTGGATTTGCCTAATTTTATCTTCATGGTGTTGTATAGCTTGTTTCTTCCCATATTTTCTGTAAATGGATGTTTTAAAAGAAAATCTATTTCGAGACCACAATATGGGTGGTCATTGCTATTGGATGTCATTGCTTTGGGGCATTTTCAGTGAAATACATACTTTTAGAAAGAATGAAAAATCATGAGTTTGTACTGATATTTCTATTTCAAACTTAACGTTATAGATTTATATTAAGCTTGGTTTTTATACTTGTATCTCTTTTCCTCTTATGCCAAACACTTATTTCTTAATATGTTAATTTACTTATTTCTTTATTGTATAATATACTTAAAATATTACTACTAGAAATATCATTAATATTAACAGTATTATTCTTAATGATGAAACTACCAATGAAGGTGGTTTTTTGTGGTTCTTTTTGTTTGTATCCCATTAAGGATGTGTAGTCAAAATATTAACTTTTCAATTTCTTGGAAGAATTTTATTTTCTGTCCTATTGGCTTCTTACACAAGGAAGTCAGCTGATTCTAGAGGGAGGAAAGCACTTGATTCAATAGTGTGATTAAAGGTGAAATTCTGTGGGCAAGCTTCAAGTAGAAGTGTATTTCCTTAAGGGGCCTACTGTTTGATGAGCTAAATAAGTGGGAATGGTAATGCCAGCCACTTACTGAAATTGCTCTGCTTGTTCCAGTTAAGAACCTGTGGTGGCTTTAAAATATGTCCACAAATTCTTTAACACTCTTCTCTTCAAAAGGTGGAGCCTGATTTCTCTCCCCAGGAGTGTTGGCTGGAGTTTCAGTGACTTGTTTGTAACAAATAGGATATGGCAAAAGTGACAGGATGGACTTCTGAGACTAGGTTAAAAGGTCCACAGGTCCGAAGGACTTGCTCCTGATCTTCCTGAGGATCCCTGTCGTTTAATTAAGAAAGCTGTAGCTGTTTGAAAGCATCTTGAGAGGAACAGAAAGGATAAGGATGCTAAATTCTGTCTGATTCTAATCAAGGGCCACAGTCGCTGGTTGGCTAGATATTTATTATAAGACCAAATGAGTCCTCCCCCCAATTGGAATTACGAGTCAGCCTCTGCCCCGGTTGCATAAATTTATCTATGTTCTCAAGCAATAAAATCATTGTTTAACTAAAAAAAATATATATATATATGTATATATATATACATATATATATATATAGCATTTTTCTTGTTCCCTCTCTCGGTTCATTAACCCTGTGGGAAGCCAGATGTCATACAGTGCAGACACTCAGGCAGCTCTATGGAGAGGTTCACATGGCAATGAACTAAGCCCTCCTGCGCACAGCCACGTGCGTGAGCCATCTTAGAAACAGATCCTCCAGCCCCAGTGAAGCTTTTAGATGATTGTATCTCCAGCCAACCTCTTGATTACGACTTAATGAGAGACCCTGGGACAGAACCACCTACCTATGCCACTCCCAGATTCCTCACCCACTGAAACTATAAGTGTGTAAAAAAGCTACTGAGGTTTTTTTGTGTGTGTGAGAGGAAGATCAGCCCTCACCTAACATCCATGCCAATCCTCCTCTTTTTGCTGAGGAAGACCAGCCCTGAGCTAACATCTATTGCCAGTCCTCCTCCTTTTTTTCCCTTTTTCTCCCCAAAGCCCCAGTAGATAGTTGTATGTCGTAGTTGCACATCCTTCTAGTTGCTCTATGTGGGACGTGGCCTCAACATGGCTGGACAAGCGGTGCATCAGTGCGTGCCCAGGATCCGAACCCGGGCCGCCAGTAGCTGAGCACACACACTTAACTGCTAAGCCATGGGACCGGCCCCCAAAAAGCTACTGAGTTTTCGGGTAATTTGTTAGGTGGTAACAGATAACTAATACAGAACCTAAATGTAGTTTTAAAACGGGGGAAAAACTCAATGAAAGTCATTTATTTACTGCCTTTTGGTGAGAAGAGTTTTTTAAAGTTAGAGGGTATATAAATAGGTTTCAGCATTCCTAATATGAGACTACAGAGGGAATTGATTGTGTGGATAGTTGGTGAAGCAGAATATCCATTGCCTAAAACAGAGACTGCCAAAGTAATGTATCCACTCCCTTGGGATCACCAACCCAGAATTCCAGAAGAATGAGGAAAATGAGGCTCTAGCCTCTGCCATTTCCCTTCCTCCAGTCCTCCTCCTCATGCTCCTTGATCCTGAGTCATTCTTGTACTGCATAGTTTATTATTTGACACAAAAATCTCCAGAGATAAACAAGATAGCCCTTTTGGTAACCCCCTTACAAAACTATTTTTCCTGAGAGAAAGTAGTGCACTCTGTGTTTTCTGTGCTGAACAAAACATGAAGATCCAGGCATAAATTCTTTATCTTCTTCTTGTACGTGGCTTGTATATGAATTACAGATTTAATTGTATCTACTTTTACTTTCAATCCCCCTATCTAGCCTTAAATTCCCACAATAAAGTAGTTTTAAAAGCAGAATCATCAGGTTGCTGAATCTTAATAATTTTTAAAGGATTTGGGTCATATTGTCCCTTTGTGTGGTGTGGCGTTTTTCTCTCCCAGAATGCTTTCTTATAAAAGGAAAAATGTGTGTATGTGTATATATCTATCTTTAATTTTTAGCTACGTATAATTTACAGAAATTCAGATCCTTTCTCTCATTCCGGATGTTAACATGGAAATTTAGGCTTCTTTTAATATAAAGTTACTTAAAGCCTACTCCACACATCCTTTTTGATCTACATTCATTCCTTTTTTAAGCAACATTTATTGAACATTTACTCTATGCCAGACCCTGAGATAGGCACTGGGAATATAAAGATGATTAAACATATATCTGTAGCAAAAGCTTAGAAGCTACTTAAACATCCATCAATAAGGTACTGGTTAAATAAATTATAGTACATTCAAAAGTAGACTACTACTCAGCTACTAAAAAGAAGGAGGACAATTGCCAAGGTCTGTTGTTGGAGTACAGGGGTGGGAAAGAAGGCAAGATACAGAGGAATGTACATAGTTTATAATCACTTGTGTAAGAGAAAACATATACATATGTATATATTCATACATATATTCCTCTTGGGCTAGACTAACTCTGGAAAAACTCAGAAGAAACTGTAACCAGGCTGACTTAGCAAAAAATAATTAGATGACTGCAGGACAGGGGTAGAGGAGGGAAATTTATCTTTCATTGTATATTTTTCTGAGCCTTCTGTGTTTTGAACCATATTCATTAATTTCCTATTCAAAAATAATAAATTAATTTTAAAAGAACCACCCCCAAAAAACATAGGGTATGGGAGAGGCAAATATATAAGAAATAAGTATAATATAGAGTATATTGGACACTGTGATAAAATATATACATGAAAGAATGGAGAGGTCATTTTTCTCTAGGGCAGCAGTGGGTAAGGAGGTCAGGGAGAGCTTCATAGGGAGGTTACTTGAGGAGTAGTAAGAGATTAAGGATTGACCAGTTTCTCCCTGATGCTGTGAGGAGGAGCAGCAGCAATACAGGTGTGTATATCTGGAAAACATAACTATCTCCTGGAACCTGTTGAAATTACATTTACTACTACAGAACCCAATCCTAATTCCTGGTATATCTGCTAACCCCGTTTCACCAGCAGCGGAACCACAAACATTTCTGCCCTTCTCTCCCTCCCTTCTACCTTCCCTCTCCCTCTTTTCTTCTCTCTCTCTCTCTCTTTCTTTCTTTTTTTTTGGTAAAAGAAAGAATATATATATCAGCAAATTATGATTCAATAGCAATTACATTAATTTTTTTTGTTGGGCAAGGATGTTATAGGTAAACCCAAACTCTGTATTGT